AGAGTTTAGGCCTCATGACCGGACCCAAAAAAAAAAAAAAAGTCTCATGGACTTTCCTGCAGGGTTGGCTTTGAACGAGATCCTCAGATCTCAGCCTCCAGAGTAGCTAGGATTACAGGCGTGAGCCACCGGCGCCCGGCTTCTTTTACTTTTTGAAACTTATTACCAGGCATGATACCACAGGAAGATCTTTAGTTCACATTCAGTCATCTTTGGGGTAAAGACGTGAACATTAGGTTTAAAGAATTAGTCACACGGGGCTGGGAAGGTGGCTCAGTTGTAGAGTGCTTGCCTTGTATGCATGAGGCCCTGGGTTTGATTCCTCAACACCACATAAGCAAAAAAAAAAAAGAAAGAAAAAAATGGAAGTGGTACTGTGGCTCAAGTGGTAGAGTGCTAGCGTTGAGCTGAAGAGCTGAGGGACAGCGCCCAGGCCCAGAGTTCAGGCCCCACGAATGGACCCCCCCAAAAAAAAAAGAATTAGTCACACGAGCATGTATGGTACTTCTGAGGAGTAATACAATGAAGTTTGCATTTAAGGGTGACTTGTCAAGCAATAAAAATTGAAGAGCTGGAAACTTGTCGAAAGAATATTTGATACACAATGCCAAGGTTGTGTTAAGTGATCTGGAATATGTAGCACTAAAATCCAAGGTATCGGGATGCTAGGGGTATAGTGTGGTGATATGAGTACTTGCCTAGTATATGAGACCCAGGGTTCCATCCCCAGCACTGCAGAAAACAAAAAGGAGGATGAGGAGAAGAAAAAGAAAGGGGGTAAAAGGATAAGGGAGGAAGGAGAACCAGAGAAGGGTGATGATAATACTTTATCACTAGTACTTTCTGGGCAAGAGCTGTGATTTACCAATTCCATACACCCCATATACCACCAGTACTGAACATGCATTGAGTACTAATAAAACTAGTTGAGTGGGCCATGGAGAAAGTTGTAGATCTTAGGAATGATCTCCAGAATGCGTGATCCTTGGCTTTGGAGGCAATTAACCCATTTGTGGAGAGAAATGTGATGGTGTATAGAATGATTCAGGCCAGGCTGGGATGCATAGTAGAGATTGGGAGACAGGTGCCAGTGGTTCACGCCTCTAATTGTAGCTACTCAGGAAGCTGAGATCTGAGGATCGCAGTTCAAAGCCAGCCCAGGCAGGAAAATCTAAGATTCTCATCTCCAATTAACCATGCAGAAGCTGGAAGTGGATCTGTGGCTTAAGTGGTACAACACTAGCTTTGAGCAAAAAGCTCAGGGACAGCGCCCAGGCCCTGAGTTCAAGCCCCAAAACCAGCACCAATATACATAAATACATATATGTATATTATATACATATACTATATATATGATTTGTAAAGCTTTAGATAAAAATACATGTATATTCTATTTTCTTCCCACATTCCAACGTATCGTTATTACTCACACTGGTGTTTACTCTCAAGCACACACAGCAGAGAATCGGATACAAAGGGATTCAAAACAGTCGTGGAAGATTAGGCTTCCTAGAGGTCAAAGACCTGTGACTATCCCCTGAGGACAAAGAGATGGGTGCGCAGGCGCAGAGAGGTGGGGTTGGTTTCCACGGCAGGGGCGCGGCTCCCGGTGTCGCCCTGCAGACGTCGCGCTGCGGGCGTGCTTTGCGGCAGGCGGCTGCGTCGCCTGGCCAGTCGTTCTTCACCTGCGTCCCGGAAGAAGACAAGGGCACTGCAGCGGACGGTAGGGTCTGTTTCGTGTCTGCGTGGTTCTTAGGGCGTTTCCATGTGAAGTTCTTAGGTTTTTGTTGTGGCTGCTTTGCGTTTGTAATTTATTGACAAGTTTTCTCTTGGCTTACGGGGCCCCTTCTCCTCACAGCTCCGGTCGTGCTCGGCTTTCCTAGGCCCCTTCGGTCCCCGGAGTGGCGCCGCGTCGCCCTCCCCGGCGCCGCCCTCCCCTCTGCGGGGTCGATGCTTTGGCGTCCCTTTGCTACCCGGGATCTGAGGTTCTCATCCGGGCGCGCACTGTCCGCTCTTCCCCTCGAGCTTCGTCCCGTGTGCTCCGTGCCCTGTGAGGCCGCGGTGTCCGTAACTCCCGTGGCACCATTTCGGGAGGCTCGTCGCCGGGCTTCTCTTGGCATGCTTTAGCCCTTTTCGGAGAAAGGAGTCTCGTCCCGTGGGAGCTTCTTCCTTCTCCACACAGCTGTCACCAGCTCCGGCTCCTTCCAGTGGATTCTGAGTAGGCCGCTATCTTTTTCTTTTTCTTTCTTTTTTTCTTTTCTTTCTTGTCCGTGGGGCTTGAACTCTGGGCCTGAGCGCTGGCCCTCAGCTCTTCAGCTCAAAGCCAGCGCTCTACCACTTGAGCCACAGCGCCACTTGCAGTTTTCTGAATGGTTTATTGGAGATCAGAGTCTCCCAACCTTTCCTTCCCGGGCTGGCTTTGAACCGTGATCCTCAGATCTCAGCCTCCTGAGTAGCTAGGATTACAGGCGTGAGCCACCAGTGCCCAACTTCTAGGCCTCTATTTTTTTTAAATACGTTTTTTATTGTGAAAATACTGTATGGAGGGGTTACAGTTACATGAGTAAGGTAATGAGTACATTTCTTATAGAGCATTGTTACCTCCTATTTGTTTTTCCCCTACCATCCTTTCCTTCCTCGCCCCCTCCCCCAAAGTTACAAAGTTCGTTTTCGACATAGTGTCTTGTACATCTCTTTGTTAAAATGGGTCAACGTGTATCCCTATTTAAGCATTTTGTTTTTTCCCTTCCTCTCCCCCAATTAGAAAAGTGTATATACAAGATGCAGGGCACCGCAATCAAATACAGTGAAAACAGGGGTTATACCGTGGGGAGGAACATACCAAAGAAACAACAACAAAAAAAAATCACATAGTACAATATAAGTACCTTAAAAAAAATAGCAAGAGGGCTGGGAAGGTGGCTCAGTGGTAGAGCACTTGCCTTGCATGCTTGAGGCCCTGGGTTCGATTCCTCAGCACCACATAAGCAAAAAGAAAAAAGCCAGAAGTGGTGCTGTGGCTCAAGTGGTAGAGCGCTAGCCTTGAGCTGAAGAGCTGAGGGACAGCACCCAGGCCCAGAGTTCAGGCTCCACGACTGGACCCAAAAAAAAAAAATAGCAAGAAAGAAAAAACCACTTGGGTCCCTGTCTCCCAAGACATCTCATTTTGCTTAACATCATCTTATATGGTCAATGTACATAGCTTTTGATCTTTTCTAGGACCTTTTCTGCTTGTCCTAGACATATACTAGTTATTGCAAATAAGGGAAACCATGGAACCTATGTTTCTTTGGGCCTGGCTTGCTTCACTTAACATAATTTTTTCCAGGTCTTTCCATTTCCTAACAATTGGGACAACGTCATTCTTTCTGATGGAGGTATAGAATTCCATTGTATATATACCACATTTTCTTCCGGCTTTTTTTTGTTCTGCTTATGTGGTGCTGAGGAATCGAACCAAGGGCCTTATTCATGCAAGGCAAGCACTCTACCACTGAGCCACCTTCCCAGCCCTGTGTGGAGTTTTTTGAGGAACCTCCATACTGCTTTCCAAAGTGGTTAAACAAGTTTACACTCCCACCAACAATTCAGTAGGATTCCCTTTTGGCCACATCCCCTCCAGCATCTGTTGTTTTGCAATTTCTTTTTTTGGTCGGTCGTAGGGCCTGAACTCTGGGCCTTGCACTGTCCCTCAGCTCTACAAGTGTAGACTCAAGGCTAGCGCTCTACCACTTGAGCCACAACGCCACTTCTGGCTTTTTTCTTTTTGCTTATGTGGTGCTGAGGAATCAAACCCAGGGCCTCATGCATGAAAGACAAGCACTCTACTACTGAGCCACCTTCCCAGCCCTGTGTGGAGTTTTTTGAGGAACCTCCATACTGCTTTCCAAAGTGGTTAAACAAGTTTACACTCCCACCAACAATTCAGTAGGATTCCCTTTTGGCCACATCCCCTCCAGCATCTGTTGTTTTGCAATTTCTTTTTTTGGTCGGTCGTAGGGCCTGAACTCTGGGCCTTGCACTGTCCCTCAGCTCTACAAGTGTAGACTAGCAGTCTACCACTTGAGCCTCAGCCCCACTTCCAGCTTTTTCTGCTTATGTGGTGCTGAGGAATCGAACCAAGGGCCTTATTCATGCAAGGCAAGCACTCTACTACTGAGCCACCTTCTCAGCCCCATGCAATTTCTTTTATATATATTTTTTTGTGCGTGTATGTGTGAAAATACTGTAAAGAGGGGTTACAATTACCTGGGAAAGATAATGAGTACATTTCTTGTCAAGCATTGTTGCCTCCTCCTTTGTTTCCCCTTCCCATCCCATCCCATATCCCGCAATTTCTTGATTATAGCCATTCTAACTGGGGTGAAGTGGGATCTCAATGTTGTTTTGATTTGCATTTCTTTTATGGCTAGAGAAGTTGAGCATTTCTTTATGTGTCTATTGTAGGCCTCTATTTTTAGAAATAAAATTTACCAGGCTGGGAATGTGGCTTAGTGGTAGAGTGGTTGCCTAGCATGCATGAAACCCTAGGTTTGATTCCTCAGTACCACATAAACAGAAAAACCCAGAAGTGGCGTTGAGCAAAAGCTCAGGGACAGTGCCCCATGACAGACCAAAAACAAAAAAAATTCACCAGTAAATCTGCAATGCACACACAATTATGTTGTTTTTGTGTATGTTGTATTTGTGGCGCCCTCCCCCAATTCTGTTGAACACAGGACTTGATTTCAAATCATGCCACCAGCCCTATTTATTTATATTTTGTTTCTGAAGGAAGGTGTCACTAACTGCCCAGGCTGCCCACGCGGTCCTGTTGTGCGCCACCATTTCCGACTCCTTTTTTGTTGATGTTGTTGGTCATGGGGCTTGAACTCTGGGCCTGGGCGCTGTCCCTCAGTTCTTCAGCTCAAGGCTAGCGCCTACTACTTGAGTCACAGTGCCACTTCCAGTTTTTTGGTGGTTTATTGGAGATAATAGTCTCACGGACTTTCTTGCCTAGGCTGGCTTTGAACCATGATCCTCAGATCTCAGCCTCTTGAGTAGCTAAGATTACAGGCATGAGACACCAACGCTTGGCTCAACTCCCAATTTTTTTAATTTAAATTTTTATTGTAAAGGCGATGTACAGAGTGACTACAGTTACATAACTGGGGTAGTGAGTCCTTTTTTTTTTTTTAACAGTGTCACCCCCCCGTCCCTCATTTTCGCCCAGTTTTTTTCTCTCCCAATCCCCCCCACCACCATTTTTGGGATTCTTGTAGCCTGTCTCTGCTCTCTCTTCTTTTTCTTCCCTTCTCTCATGCTCCCCACCTTTTCTCTTAACATTACTATGTATTTATCATGTATCTTATTCTTTTTTCCCCCAATATCTGCCAGATTCTACTGAGCACCAGAATCAATTATCTATTTCTTTATTGTTCAACATTTAAAGTTTTTTTTTGTTGTTTTGTCTTTTTAGCAGTCGCTGAGCCTCTGCTTAGTCCCTGCTTCAAAGCAGTCATTACCCAATATGGGAACCATACAATTAAAATAGTCCATTTCAGTGATGTGCCATATACCATGATACAAGTTGAGAGTGTTGTGGGAACATAGAGGAAAGACCTCGGATTCGGGGTGCTTCTCAAGAGAAGAGTCACCGAAGTTAATAAGGAAAGAATGAGTAGAAAGGGCTGTGAATGTGGCTAAGTGGTAGAGTGCTTGCCTATCACGCATGAAGCCCTGGGTTTGATTCCTCAGTACTATATAAACAGAAAAAGCCAGAAGTGGTGCTACAGCTCAAGTGGTAGAGTGCTTCCCTTGAGTAAAAAAGAAGCTCAGGGACAGTGCCCAGGCCCTGAGTGCCCTAGGACTGGCAAAAAAAGAAAAAGAATGAGTAGAAAAATAAAAAGAAATTCTTTGTACTTTTCAGTTTTCTTGTCTTTTTTTTTTTTTTAAAGAATTGGGTTGTTTGAGTTAAAACATAGGGTTTGTTTTTGTGCTAGTAGTGGGGTTGAAGAGTCTGTTGGCTTTTTCATATCTGGCCTTTTGGGGTGGGTTTATTGGAGCTAAAAGTGTCATGGACTTTCCTGCTTGAGCTGACTTCAGACCCTCATCCTGAGATCTCCACTTCCTTTTTTTTTGGTCCGGTCATGGGGCTTGAACTCTGGGCCTGGGCGCTGTCCCTCAGCTCTTCAGCTCAAGG